TAAATAGTGGTTTGTTCACATTTTCAATATCAAATTCGTGTTTTTCAGACAAAAATACGTAAGTACCAAAAAAAATTTTCGAAAAAAAACCCATCGCATGATAAGTGCAAAATTACCAAAATTTCAACCGTGGTATCATATATGATACCTGGGATCCGAGGAGAATAAACTTCCCAATAGTGAATGCAACTTTATCAACTAGATATCACCTTCCTTGAAGAATATATTTTGTCGTTATTTATTTGTGAAGTTCACGTCGGCTGTCAAGCGATGGCTTTCCAGCTTTACCAGTGTCCGTCTTGGGAATACGAAGACTTCATTACAAGTCCCTACAACAGCACGAAAAGTGTCGGCATAACGTTTAAATCATTCCGAGAACGACTTTTACTCCGTTCTCTTGTGCACCTTTTCATCAACGAAATCTTGCTGAGAGATACCATTCCGAGATTAGAGATACCTGCGGAATTGAGAAAAATGTGTTGCAACTGTAGGAAGCTTCAAGATATAAATTGCTTCCCATTATTCAGGTGGAATTGGATTTTATTTTATTGTCTCAAGCAAAATCCCGGATGTATGGAAAGACACCTGACTTCTATCAGAAGAACCAAAACTTTAATCATATTGAGCAGGAATGAAATCAGAATAGTGGTAGGGCTCACGGGGCACTGATGCCATTTAAACAGACAACCCCCTAGTTAACCACACTCATGTCTCAGCTCGATCACAAGAGAGATCAGTCTAAGAACTTTGGTTCATTATACTCATCAAACCGTTCTGGAACATATGCAACTTGCATCTCAAATGTGTGAATACTCATCAGAGCTTCTACAAATCAGTGTTTCATCACACGTTCTATCAACGTGATGAAATTGAGACATCCCAGGTGTGATCACAAAGGAGATCAAATAAAGAACTTTTTTCTGTGACGGGAAAAAAGTTTGGCATTTCATCTCTGTTGGCAGGTTATAAAATGTCACTTTTCATAAATTACTTTTTTCCCGTGGGAAAAAAGTGAGTACTTCTTTCCCGGATATATATCACATATATATACTCTGTTAATGGCTTTTGTTGTGCGATAGTTCCGAAAAATGAGTCAATAATACCGTCTCCGAGAAAGAACTGCAAGTCCTTTTATCTTCCATTCGACTTCGCGGTTTCGTATATTACTAAACAACTACTGAATTTGCAATTTTTTAAAATCAAATCACAGAATTGAACTGACAGAAGTGACATCAGATATTTGATTACTTCAAAAGAATGATAAAGATGCCTATAAAACGCAGGTGTCCCTACTGTTAAAAACATGAAATTTCACGTCGATAATTTTCAGATTTCGAAATAATGTAATATCTTCTCAATATTGATTCGTCCTTCCTTCTGTCACAGAAAAAAATAGTGTATTATACACGGGAAAAATATTAGATTTTAGCTCACGGTTTTTTGTCTCCCTCCGCTACGCGTCGACAACACAACCTGGAGCTAAAATCTACTACTTTTTTCCCTTGTATAATAAATAACTATTATTCATCACACGTTCTATCAACGTGATAAAATTGAGACATCCCAGGCGTCATCACAAAGGAGATGAATTAAAGAACTTTGTTGCATCACACGTTCTATCAACGTGATAAAATTGAGGCATCCCAGGTGTGATCACAATAAAGGAGATCAAATAAAGAACTTTATTCATCACACGTTCTATCATCGTGATAAAATTGAGGCATCCCGGGCGTGATTTCAAAGGATATCAAATAAGAGAACTTTATTTCATCACACACGTTCTATTAACTAAAATATAATTCGTGTGCTTGTATTTTAGGTATTAAAAGTTAGAATTTGAGTACGTGAAATTCAAAGTTGTCGTTCAACAACCAGTGATATTGTGTTTAGTGGGCAGTGGGCTTTCCTAACATCACTTTTTCTTGTATTTTCAAGAATCTTGCTTTGGTAGCACAACAGCACAGATGGATCACTCTGCATTGGCTCCATCCGTAATCATCCATAAATTTATACTTACCGGTTCCTTCAGTTTGTGAAGTTTTTTCCATCAGTATTCGATCGAATCAGTTTGAAATGCAACACCATGATATTCAGGATATATTCTTGGAATTTCAAATATCGAAATCAAAAAACAGTTGATAAACCCCTAAATATTACCCGATTTTTTATATCAATATTTGAAATTCCAAGAATATATCCTAAATATCATGGTGTTGCATTTGACACTGATTTGACTAAAGGTGGAACCAGTATAAATGTATGGATGATTAGGGATGGAGGCAATGCAAGAGCACAGATTTGTCAAAAACGTCTCAGCAGGCATGCTCCATAGAGAGAGCTATGTAGAGTCATAGTCGTCACTGTGATCTCACAGGAGCATATCTTATTCAAGTCTGATATGTTGCATAACTGATATGTCTGTGATTTCATTCGAGGCGGACATTCATCTATGCTATATCTCTGATGGAAACAACTCCGTGATGAAACCTGGAACATTTGAAATGCACCTACCAAACTTATTGAGTGGTATTGAGAACTATAGACCACGTATTTAATTTCAAAATGTTCATTTGGAATACGATCCTTCTGATTCTTCAGCTTCCTTCCTCAATTTTGACATTTTTTTCATCTGTTGGAGCGCACGAAAGGAAATTCCTATAATGTGCAAAGAACATCGTGCGAAGCTGGGGAGCATAGGAAGAAGAGGTAGGTGTTGGATTTTTTGTTCAACTTTTGGAGGTTATAAGTTCTTGGAAATACTTCCATTGGCAACGAATTCCAAAGCTTTGCCGATCTGTAGACGAACGAGTTTTATTAAAGTGTTGACAACGAAAGGATGTGCTGACTGGGCCTATCGAGATCGTTTGAACGGTACTGCTATGTTATGAAATTATAGCAGAGAATTCTGAGACAAATCGCCTACTTTTCTACGGTGTTTTGATGAGGCCAAAGGATTATATATAGTGTCATCGGCTGCCATATTGGTATAAAACCGGCGAGGATACACTCTGCTATATGCTGCTTTGTATCGAATAAAAACTAACACTACTATTTTTATGATTTCTGGAAGGAAATTCAAGAACCTGGACTACCTCCTTGCTCATATTTGATACAGAATGGACGACGTGTGATAATATACTAGATGTGCGCATGTTAACGCGGACTTCAATTTTGAATTTCAAATCCTCGCAATTCAAATCGAATTTATTGTCTATTCAACATTTATTTGGATATCCAATACAAATATTCCTATCGAAAGTTGTGATGCCAATTCTAGTGAACCAGAAGTTGAGAAAAAAATTTCAGGCTTTTATTATAGAGAGCACGAATAATCTCTATTATGAAATATAAGAAAAGTGTTGAAGAACATAATGAAATACATCCTGTATATATTGCTGATTGTCCACTTTGTTGTCTTTCATCTCGAGGTATTTTTATCCGAACAGTATCTCTTGGTATCAAGATTTGTCCAGTGAAGCAGCACTTGAAGCAGCTTCCGTCACCCAATTAACTTGAATTATTGTCAAGATAAAATCAACTCAGCACAAAGTTAAAACAACCAAAATTAATTATCCAGAGTGAACTACGCCCCTGGGATTGTATTTCACAGATAGTGTGAAAGTAATTAACAGAATTTAAGTGTTGCATTTGTGTTTTATTTGTGTGAAATTGGCCGAACAGTCGCGCAAAGTTGGAACTTGTAAGGTTGATTTATTACAGCTTCAGATGGTAGATAGTTTAGCAGTTTGGGAAATGATTCCGAAGGTTTAAATTGCGATTAGTCGCAGGAAAAAAGGGTATCCCTGATTGCCGGAGAAGTTCGGGACCGGCATGTTGCAACTTTCTCAGTTTTGTTTCTTCGCCTTCGGGAGATTTATTTTTGGAAATGTACGTCTAGTCAGTTAACTTTTCCTCTCTCAAAGTGGAGCTTGCTCGAGGTAGACTTGAAGTTCTCGAGTACAAGAGACTTTGTTATCTTTTTTCGTCCTCTTAGTGTTCGCTATGTAGGAGCTGTAAATTTGATTTTCTAAATGAATATTAACTTTCAGATGACTGGAGAAGTTGGCGTGGAGTTTAATGAGGAACTTGCGAAGCTCTCATACAATGGAAACAAGGTCTCGAGTTGCCTTCGGACATGTTTAAAGATGTGCTTTGAATAGTCAGTTATAAAGAGTTATGGTCGCTCGTCCTAGCCAAAAAAACAAACAGGAAATGCTCCAGCTTATAATTTATTGTGTTCCAAAGTGACATTTTCTGGCTAAAGCGTTTGTAATCTATGATCAATAATGTATAAAGAGAGAACGTTAGTGCACCACTTTTCTTGAAACATTTGAAATGTTGAATTATAGAAACGAAATCTATTGGTATGTTCGTGGCACTATTTGTATAACACTCAACAAAAGAAAACGTTCGACTGTTTTCAAGTTTCATTTATTTTTTGCATTGTTCAATTCGCAAGAAAATCAGATTATACTGTGGCTTCTCGCCGCCATTGTTTGTCCCTGATAATGAAGAATTGACAAAATAACTTTCGCGAAGTTTACTGCGGCCTAAACATTTTCAGATGTTATCTACGCCAATAGCAGCTGAAAATCAATAAGAGAGGCAAAGCACCATTGAATTTCAAAACGAAAGTCTTGCAAGGTTAAAGAGATCTCTTTATCGGAAGGTTTGATAGCATTTCGGAATGAACAATGGTAAACTTCACTTTTGAGTGCTTTATCGAAAGAAATAAGTTCAATGAAGCTCTCTCTCTCTTTCTCTCTCCACTTGAAACCAAGAGTTTCTTGAAGGCTTCGACGTAGATGCCTCAACTTCTCGTGGTGAATATCAAATATTATATATATTTAAAAGATAGCCACCAATGAACATACTCCTAAGCCATTAGGGCAATTTTCGATCATCCGATTATCCATCGTTAATCGTATCCATAAGGTATAATAAGTAACTCTCCTCCTCAAATCACGGAACTAGTTCCGATTAGAAAAATAACACAGCAATAAAAACAATGATTTATTGTGCGAAACTAAAATTATAATCTGTTTTACTTTCTGCCGAAAGTATTTTGTGCAAAGGCTGGGGGAAGTTGTTCCATAAGGGCAAGGGGGTTTACTTCTACTGCTACTATCTCATCGTCTGCTAACCATTCCAAATGGGCCAGGTGCTGAAAAATGAACGAAATTTATGATAGGTATGTTTCTTTAGTTCATTTGGATACGTGATAATGATTAATTTCGGGCTTCGGTTGTTTTCCAAATTCTGGAGGATGATAACATGAAACAATCTCAATTTGCTGTACCAACAAATTATGTTAGATGATTCTTCCTTGTGAAATATTTAATAAACTAGAGAGTCCCAGTATGAAGATTTGTTACCTCACTATTTAATCTTATATATGCAATAAGCAATTTTCCATCATCAGATGGGAATACTTAGAGCTATAGGTACCTTCCAGTAATATTTTGAGTCTCACTGAAAATGCTCCACCAAAACAATAATTTGTGAACATTTGGTGTTCTTCATAATTACCTTGTATCTTTTATTGACCTGATACCGTATCCCTTCATATGGCTTGTCCACCCCGTTTTCCTTCACGGAATCTGCAGATTCAACTTTTGGAATCTTCGTTTTTTTGGGAGACTTCTGTGCCTGTAACAAAGAATATAAGGTTTACACTCGGGTTTACATGTTTTCAATACCTTCGAACTTCCACTAAGATGCAACAAGACCCAACAACGTTTTTTCCAAGAATGTTTTTGTTTATGTTCTGGTTCCCACGAAAAGAGATATCCTGTAATGTTCAGAGAACATCGTGAGAACCAAGGGTAATAAGGTAGGAATTGGAGTTCTTCTTAAATTTTTGGAGGTTATAATATGCCTCGGGGTACACCTCCCTTGGCAAAGTGTTCCAGAGCCTCACTGTTCGTTGGATGAACGAGTCTTTGGAAAGAGATGTTCTGCAAGTCTCCAAAGTAACCACGAAGGGGTGCGAAGCCTCAACTCGACGGGTTGATCTCGCGGGGACTGCCAAGGAAGAAACAATTGTTAATATTTCAGAACAGCATCGTTCATGAAAATATCTATAAAATAGAGCCAGATCGCCAACTTTTCTACGATGTTCCAGAGAAGTGAGTGAGTTTGTGAGCGAGGCATCACCCACGAGATGAATTCTTTGGACAGAATCCAACAGATTCAGGGTATGTTTGGGTGCTGCAGTCCAGATATGGAAACAGTATTCCAGGACAGGTAGGATCTGTGCATTATAGATCATAAGTAGCTGACCGGAAGTGAAATAGCTCCTGGCCCGAAACAGAAAGTCAAATTTTTGGGATGCACTTTTAGCAATTGATCTCACGTGATTTTCCCAAGAAAGGTTATTCCTGATAGTAATACCAAGCATCAAGAAATTGATGTCTTCAAGGGTATGGTTACTCCTGACAAGCTTATGTTGGGCACAGCATAGAACTGAATTCAGATCTATGGGCACAGTGAGATCGACTTTTCTAGAGAAAAGGCGTGCTTGTGTTTTGTTTGCATTGAAATCTGCCAAGTTATTGGATCCCCAATCGAGAATTGTTGCCAAGTTCATATTTATGTTGTCAACATTTCTTCCTCGGTCGTTCCTGATTTGCCTGGCTGGTATTGGAGCCCTGTGTACTGGACATGAAGTTGCTTCCAACAAATCGTTGATATAAAGTAGAAATAGTGTTGGTGCTAGTGCTGGTGCTGGTGGTGTACATTGAATAATTTTTAGTTAAGTAATCCCACGATCAACTATTTCATTCCGGATATTGGTTAACCAATTCATCATCTGGGCAAACGTATACTAAATCTGTTATCGAAACCCCTAATGAAGCTTATATTCGTGTCATTCGGGCATATCCTTAAATATTGCAAATGCATAATCCCATCCTCGTAATAACGTGCATATAAATCCGATTGTGAATCAAAATTGAACGAACATGAACTCAATTAGTAGTTCGCTATATCCAATTAAACTTTAATGCTTCGGATAGTCTCTCTGATCCGAATTGAAAATCATATATTCCAGAAATATGAAAAGAGGACGAAGTTAAACTTGATAGGTGATAATAGATGTAGCGCCCAAGTATATATACCTCATTAACAGCGGAAGCTAGTGCATAAAATCATGATAATAATGTATACAGGATGTTTCATTAGGAAAGGTAAATAATTCAACTGTGGATAGGGGTCACTGAGGTGATTTAAAAAAACCCATGGTTAATGGGTCTTCGACATCTTATAACCGAGATACGGGATGTTTCATCAATTTTGCCCATATGTTTATTGTCTCATAACTTTCCAACGAACCTGTATATTTTTTGAAAATAAGTACACTTTCTCAATCTATTCTGTCGAATTGTTGAGGCATCAACAAAATATAGAATCCAGGTCCGGCTTCACTTAAAATTCACAACAGCACCCTATACATTAGATATGATGATAGATTGTTCTAGTAGACAGAGATCAAATATTGAATGCACAGCTGACTATCGCCCCCTATATAACGTTATAATAGGAATAAGAGCATGGAAATGAACCGAATGTGACATCTAGATAGATAGATAGATACTTTATTCGTTTTCCATTTAAAATATTCACATCTGGAATATAAATGAACAAACACGTCAAAAAACACTTAATATCAAACAAAACATATAAATAAATAGATAAATAGATGAATAAATGGTAAATAGACATATATAGCAGTACAAAATGAAGTGTTATAATTCAAACAAAGAATTCGTTCAATGAATAACAGCATTTTTCATTTAAAACGTTCATCAATATTTTTTTTGGAAATGTTCACATTGGGTGGGAATTGATTTCATCATTCAATTTATTATACAATTATTTGCACCCGATGAAATATAAACTCCTTTGATAAAGTGTAGTGGAGTGAGAGTTGGGTTGTAAAAAATTGCAGTAGCGAGTGAGCGAGTGTTACGATCATGCTTAGGTAGGCAAGTTGCAGTGCTGTTCATTTTATAGAAATATATACATACTTCTGATATATATATGCTGTACAATGTAAGGATTTTGTGTTTCTTGAAGAGTTCTCTACAGCTAGTCCTCGTGTCAGTATTTGCAATATCTAAGGCAATACAATTGAATGGATCTTCTCTTTGAGTGATGCAGGAATCAACAGGATGAATATTGCATTGAATGGCCGAAATATCCTACGTTGTATTTTTAAGGAATTAGCACCGGTCACTATCAAATTCCAAATGATTAATAGAAACATTGCTGGCTAAAACTGTATGGAGACACCGGACGAGATTGGGATTATACAAGTCCATCTGTATCACGTTTTTTTCCATACCCAGCTTATTGTTTACCGAGCTGTTCGACGCGAGAAGACTCCTAACCAGGCATTAATGGCTGACGCTGACGGTATATATATGGGGATTCCATTAGGGAAATTTGTTTTTGCGCACACGTGTCTGTGGGATTAAAGGTGGATTACACTTTTCAAAAATACTCTCCTCCATAACAGCTTCATACTTGCTAACGAACAGTGTGGAACAGTGATGATTCATTGGATTTTGTTTCATTTGTCATAAGAATATTTTGAATGGCGGAATGGTAATATATTACCTTCATAGGATTCCTGTAATTGCCACACGAGTTCTTTGGAGAACAACGAGCTAAATGGAAAGAGTTCCAACCGAGAGGAACATCATAAATGTAATTCTTTTCAAAATCGTTTACAAACAAACAAACAAAACAGAGTTCGTTCTGCTGTATCTACATTAATCAATAAATACACCTTTCGAAAGTTATTACAATGACTATTCCACTCTTGATCTCGAGAAACAATCAGAATCGACCATTTTCACGGTTTCTTCTGTATTCTAGCGATATTTTTTGTTTATTAAATTTTATCGGACTTGCTCTACCAATACAGAAGCCGAATTGACCCACACGTGACCAACAAACCTCGTTTATCAGCGATAAAATTTTGACATCGTGTCTGGTCAAGATTGCTTTGGATTCAAATCTGAGACAATAACTAAGTTCCTACTTCATTTTATTTACTTATAATTCGCGTTAGTGATATATTTTGTACGAAAGGGGAGACAATTTTATTCTGGCTGGACGTTTCATGTGTAATTTGAAAAGTTTGCATATTTGATGACGGTCTGACACAACAATAATAGAATTCGAATTCCTTTCTGAAGTAATCTTCTTCAATTACTCAACTTATTGTGACTGACTGTTATAATTACTAGCTGATGTAGCGGAACTGTTAGGGTTGTTGCGCGAGGATACGAAGGTCGATGGTTCGAGCCCTCGGCAACGATATCTTGTTTTTTTAATAATTCCATATCACATAAATTCAATTTATTTTGTTTGAATTGGATAGCAATTATAAACACTCTTTTGAGAGCAACCACATCCAAGATAATAAAAAAATACTGTTTATCAAAATTGTACATATTCCACTTTGTGAATAATTATAAGTAGGTAGTTAATTTCTAAAAAAGTAAATTCTGTGTTTTATTACTATCATTATGTTCTTCTTCGCAGTTCGAGTTGGAATATACTTAAATTATGTTTCCTATTTCTTATATATATTGTCTCATTCAATCATGAAATAGTCATACGAATACAACTCGTGATACTATTTTTCCTGGAAATATTCGTCGATTGACATACTCCAGCTTGCTGCTCTAATTTCGCTCTTGACATTGATCCAAATAAACTACTCGCCTACGGCTCGTAGATTTGATAACGATGTCATTCACGAAATTACTAGGCAACAAGCTGTCGTATCAATCACCAAATATTTCTGGCAAAATATTATCACTTGTGGTATTATATATGATCAAAATTGATTAAATGGGATACATTTTTTTGACAGAAGTTGAAGTGGACGATCAGACATTGTACTGTTACATGTTTTGTCCAAACCGCACATTAGACCGTATTTGGACTATTTCAAGTTCTGACTGTTACTCGGATCTGAAACTTTTTATACAAGAGCTTTCGATTAGATTCTCTAACAAAGGGAATCTGGATAAGCAATAAAAATTATAGTTGAATAACGATATGATTCTTGACGGTTATACCTATAAAAACAAGGAAAAACAAAGCAACTATGTATATGACTTATTGTTCTTTTCACTTGAAACTTGAATTTCAACCCTCAAAACATAGACCAGATAGGTTACGTGTAGGACGTAGTTGTAAATAGGTACCTACTCCAGTCAACGAACTCAAAACGTTATTTAAATCACATTTGAATAAACGTTTGGAGAACGTTATGTTTATTCACGGCGATGAGGAGGGCTCTGAGATAATCAATCGATTTTCAACTTCCTATAACATAAATAATCTTCTTATAACATAAATAACCTTCTTATACCTAGTCCCAAACGTGAGCCTTCATAGTTGGCAATCTGTACCATGATTTGCAGTATTCGCTGAAAATTAATTTTCAACACTCTCCGATACCGTTGGCTCATATTGATGATTGGATGTCCAAAAAATAGCCGGGTGAAAAGTAACACCATCAATCATACCCCGGTCATTACCAAACGCATTTTCATGGCACTCTATTGTTGATGAAAATATAATTGAATTAGTGATGCAACACCAACATTGCGGCTTAACGGCTAAAACTG